AACTTACACATAAACAACATAAATCAACTTAAGCACCCAACAACTCAACTATTTCAACAAAAGAACAACATGCATAAAGCTTCCCTAGCTCTCCTGAAATTAAACAACCTACATTCTAGCTTCCCTCACCTGAAGATTGGCTCAAAATAGTCAATAACTGAGAAGAAGTAGAATTCCCTCCCGAAGCTCAACTCGGAACTTCAACCCTCCCAAAACAAGCTTCCTAATCTGAATTTCAAGAAAAGATAGAAGGCATTAGTGGTTTAGAGGAGAAAAGGAATCATACAGAGAAATTTGGGAGAGAAAGGAGCTCACAGACCCAGAGTCCTTCTCTCTAAAACTTCTCTCTAAAAATCTCATTTTTTCCTCAACCACCCAACCCCTATTTATAGAAGTTCAGGAGTGGCCCGTTTTGGGGTTTGGAACGGCCCGTTCTCCCTTCAGAACGGCCCGTTCTCCCTTCAGAACGACCCGTTCTCAACTACATTTTATATGTCAATTCAGTAATTTGGAACGGCCCGTTCCAGTTTAGGAACGGCCCGTTCTAAGATACTGAATCACCCATACTAGGCTTTTGGACCTTCTGAAATAACCTACTAGATTTTTAACTGTTTGTTCATTTTTTTTTATTTCTTATTGGTATTCTGATTTTTTTTTGTTTTGTTTTTGTTACTTTACTATATCTTTGTCATTGTATATTTATTTTGGAAAATTAAATAAAATATATGTCAGTTGATTAATAAAATTGATCTTACACTAACAATATTAGGACATACGTATACGGTGGTGTGAAATTTAGATTCTATGCTTCTTTATTACCTCTCTGTTAAAAGAAAGTATAAGCATTTTTTATAATATATATATATATAAATGGAATAGATTAGCAAATTAACACAATTAGACTTTTCTATATTATACCTCGAGTAGAGTCATGGATTTATAATCATTTTTTCGTCTCCTTTAAATATTAAAAATTAATATTAAAAATCAATCATTCATGTAATCACTCAAATAAGTTAATTATTTCTAACCACTCAAATTCTTAAAAACTTTTATTATTTAACCTCAAATTTTATTTTATTTTAAAAAAATTCAATAAAATATATAGATATGAAATGTCTCAATCCCTACTAATATGATCAGAAGACCACATTTCATGGAGCATGTCTGCCTTAGCTTCATTTAATAAATTTAACTGTTCATACACATACACCACCAAGAAAAAACTTATTTCAACTCATGGATTACTGAAATGTTGATCCACACATTACAATTCATCAAAAAGATTTTAATTTTTTTATCCATCCAAACTACAAAGAAAATATTAACATTCAAATTTAAAATTTTGTGTATATTATTCTAATTTCCCAATGATATATGCACTGTTTGGTCTCTCTCACTCACCAGCTTGACTAAATATTCAATTATTGATTTTTCATGCCATGCTAATCAAATAACTCACAATTTCATTATCAAACAAAGTTGAATAAGTGCAACTTCAAAATAAGCCACAAAGCAAACCATTCTTAAGTGAATTAAAAGACATACTTTTCCTTTTTGTTGATCTAAAAGTTAACTCATTTACTACTTCTCAAGAATAATTTTCAGTATTTCCCAAAAAATATCTATATATATATAATTATATATAAATATCTATCTACAAATATTTATTTATTTATTTAATTTAATTTAATTTTTTTTATATACACTACTGCTCTTAGAGTAACTAAGGTGCAAGCTCCTAACAAAACAGTTAGTATCCCAAATTCAACATTAACAATTGCACCACCAGATATGCCATTCAACCAAAATACCAAAAGTTTAGACATCTAATCCCAAAACAAACAAACCACCACAGTTTAAACGATTAACAAAAATTTAAAAGACAGAAATTTAAATTAACAGAAATTTAAAATTACATGAATTTAAAGTAAACTCTGCTTCTTCAGAAAATGAGCTCAGAATGTGGGTGACAGCGATCCTTCATCTCCAAATCCTTCTTCATTGTCCTCTCCTCCATCATTCCCTTCTTCTTCAACTTCAGCATCAGACTGCTGTCCTTGTTCACCTACATGAGGCTGCTCATGCTCACCACCTCCTCCTGAAAAGACAGGACTGTCCCCAGGCCATAGAATAACATCTTGAAATTGCTCCGGTGTAGGCCAAGGATATAAGCTTTCACCGGTACTGGCCTGATTTTGAGTGTAGTGATAAAAATAAGAATGCAAAGCCACTTGCCCTCGATGATTGGCAGCTTGTTGAAGTTGGACATGGCGGAGATGAGCCATCTCCAATTGGTGCTGCTCCTCCATGCGCTGAAATTGTTGCAATGCAATTCTAATTTCATTATTTCCACGTTCATTAAATAATCCAACAAGATTCCTCAAGGTTGAATCCTAAAGTCATTAAGCTCAAAACATGATTCCTCAATGTTTTGAGTCTAACACTTCGCATTAAGAACAATAACTTGAACAATGTGACTAACCAAATCAAGTCTATTCCTAGAACAAGAGGTGATTAGGTGCAAGATTCAGTTCGGGTTTTCGAAAGCGTTTTCCAACTGGATTCAAAAGCCAAAATTCATACAACGGTTGATCAAGCCGATATAAGCGTTAAGCGAAGAATCAATACACAAATAATGAGATCAAAATGCATATATTTAAGAAGAAGAGGAGTTAGTAGTTACATCTAACCAATCCTTAAGAAGTTTAGCCACCCATGGCCATTACAGAATCAAAGAGTGAAAAGAAGAAATTACAAAGCAAAGGATGAAGAAATGGAGTTGATCTTCTTTCCCAAAGGATCCAGCTTCCAAATCTCTGTTCTTCCTTCGTTCTTCCTTCCCCACCAGCTTTTCCCCTGTTTTTCTCTCTTAAATTCGTGCTCTGTATCTCCCCCCAGTTCTCCTCCTTTTTCCCTTTTATATCAGCTCTAAAACTGGGCAAAAAGTGAAATTTTTAACTCCACCGCTGCAGCTGTAGAACCACAGCTATGGCTGTGGAGAATCCTTCAAGGTGAAGTAACTTCTGGCGCTGCAGCTGTAGCTCTGCAGTCATGGCTGTGGAGACTCCTTCATGATTAAGCAACTTCCTGAGCTATAGCTGTGAAACCACAACTATGGCTGTGAGTCTCTGTGACTTCCCTTGATTTCCCAAGCCTCAACGCTCAAGCCTTGGACCCTGCAGCTGTAGCTTCAAGTCTCTGGAACCAAAAATGAGCATTCCAGATTTCCACAGCTCGAGCTCCAGATCCACAACTATGGCTGTGGATCTCTGCCTAGCCAAAAAATCCTGCAAAAATGAGACAATTCCTTAAGATTACTACTACTCCTCTACTCTTATAGTATAGCTTAATTCTATAAATAAAAGGGGTAAAATATCATATAAATATCTACAATTATACAAAAAGATTTCCAAAAGTTGAGTGCGAAAGATAAAAAAAAAAAAGACACTCAACAAATACATGTTATGATAGAGATAGACATATAAATTTCAATTGCTGACCAATTTCTTAAGCAATTGACAAATATGACCGTCACTGCGTTGGGTGATTTAATTTTTTTTTTGGTGAAATTAAAAACCTATAACATAATATATTTATATCTAAATAAATATTATATTCTGTTTTACTTTTTATAACATCATATTCAATTCATTTCTTAATAAAATTATATTAGTTAACTTTTACTAGTTGATAATATTTTATTAATGTCAGTAAAAGAAAATATTTTGTGCGTATGTTTAAACACACACGATAGTAAGATAATGCGTAATTATCGTTATTATTTAATAGCAGTTTCAAGAATAAAATTTTAATATTAAATTTTGTTACCTTTATTAATTATTATTGTATATTTATTTTTACTTTCATTTAAAAGATTTAAATTGTCCAAAATTATATGTAAAAAGATAAAGAGTCGGCATTATATATAAGTAAAGATAAAACTTAATTTTATTAATATTATGATATTTAAATTTTAAATTTTATTTATTATAATTTTTAAAAATAAAAGTAACATTACATGTAATTGGATGAAGGACTTATTTATTTATTCATCGATTCAAATTCTAAATATGTAGCTATAATAATAAATACATGTTTTTACCAAAAAGAGTTTATCCCACAATCTAAATATAATTTAAAATTAAAATTTCAAAAATAAAAAAATTTATAGAAGAAACTTAATTTATTTTTTTCTTTCTTATAAACATTTATAGAGAATTTTATATTAAAATTTATGATACATCATTAGAGATTTATTTGCTTGAACAACCTTGTTACAAAGTTTATCACCAAATAACTCATTATGAAAAATATTCTCTATCTCAATTTACCAACTTCATAAAAGATATACAAGTCTGTTGATATGTTTGGATTAGTGGAAAAAATAAAAAGAAAGACAAAAAGTAAAAATAAAAAATATATATTTTTAGATAAAAATAGAAAAAAATGACAAAATTAAAAACACCTTTAATTTTTTCTTTTAATTTTCTGATTTCAATTTTATTTTATTTTCTCTTTTCTTTCCCTTACTTCATTTCGTCTTTTTGAACGGGTAAAAAAAAATGTTGCTTTCAGTTATATTTTATTTTTGAAAAACATCTGATCTGACGATGATTTATATTTAAAGAAAACGGTAAAAAAAAGTTTAGTCAGAGGAATGACGATTGATATCAGATAGTTTTTTCTTTTAATAAAATAATCATAACTTCAATACGATAAAAGCCACGTGATTCCGTCTAGAAGATGAAATATAATGTTGGAAAATAATTTAATCTTATTAACTTGCCGGAGAGGAAATTTGTTGATTTAAATATTATAGTAATGTTGAATAGTACAAACAATCAAAGTTGAAACTAGTTGCATTAGTTGTAACCAAAGTTCCACTTTTCAAATGATTAGTTATTTCTGCTGCATGCATCTTTCTGCTAAGGTGCAAATTACTTCAGCTTCTGGATGTAAAAGCTTCACTTCTTCTTTTGCTTATTAATGCATTTTTATCCTTTTTTTTTTTTTTTAAATTCTTCTCATACTGATTTTCTCCACTGCTTGATCTAGTCTTTGTTTGTTGTTATTAACTTGACATGTTACGTGCTTGTCTTATTCTGAAGTAAACTTTTGTCAAAGTTGACTAATACTAATGGTTTTCTCTCAAGTAGTTATTGTGTTTGAAACTTTGAATGAGTCTGAATTCAGAATCACAGTAAAAGCAATGCCATCATCTTTACAAACTCAGTGCACACACAACAAACCAAGAGGGAAAAAAAAGATGAGATTTCACCATGAGGTTATGCTTTATAGAGCATAATAATCTTTCTCTGAGTTACTAATTTGAATTTGAACCTGTAATGTATTTATTTCCTGCAGCAGTTTTCGGTTAACGGTGATTACTAATCAGTAGAGGGGTGTTTAAAGTCTTTCATCAAGAAAATGGCGGTTGATATCAATTTGAATGGAGATGCTGACAATAACCGAGATCCAAGGAGCAAGGCCGAAGAAAAAAATGTCAAAACAGTACCCTTATACAAGCTTTTTGCATTTGCTGATCGTTTGGATCGTTTATTGATGTTTGTGGGGACTGTGGGTGCTATTGGGAATGGAGCCTCCACCCCCTTAATGACTCTGATATTCGGAGATACGGTCAATGCATTTGGAGGATCCCAAAGCACTCACCAAATTGTTCATGAAGTTTCTAAGGTAAAGTATCATCTAAGATGAAATTGGTGAGTTTATTACAGGAATATTAGTAAATAGTAACTTAACATTCTCAGACTTAACACTTCACAATAAATTACTGTGTTCAGGCGTCTCTGAAATTTGTATACTTGGCTATTGGAACCTTTTTCGCATCACTTTTGCGTAAGTACATCAGATCATCTGTTTCTGTTAGTTCATACAATCTAATTAATTAGTTTGGATAATTATGACCTAAAAAGAAACCTTGTTTGCTATATGTGTCAGAGTTGACATGCTGGATGATCACTGGTGAGAGACAAGCTGCAAGAATTAGAGGCTTATACCTTCAAACAATTTTAAGGCAAGATGTCAGCTTCTTTGATCAAGAGACTAATACTGGAGAGGTTGTTGGAAGGATGTCAGGTGATACTGTTCTTATTCAAGATGCCATGGGTGAGAAGGTACTAACAAACCACCATACAAGTCTTAGTTAAATAAATCATTATCTCTTTTAAGCTAAATTTCGTTTCTTCATTGTTTTTCCACCCTTTCATCTCTGTTAAGAAAAACCAGAACAGAGAAGTTGAAACAGAAAAAACTGGAACAGAGAAGTTGAGTTTCTGGTTTTTTTTTGTTTCAATGAAAGGAAGAAAAGTGGTTACACAATTTCATTATTCATTTCCACACTCTCCGTAGAGTTGCATTACATCAAATATATGACAAGAGAGATTTCTGATATGCATATCATATGCTACAGTAAATCTCCACAAAATAAAGATAAACACTCCTTTTTACCTAAACATTTGTCCAAGCAACAAACAAATCTCTTGAAATATGGATTTCCACTTAATTATACCTAACCACACCAAATGCAACTAAGATACAAACAGACATAAATATTTAATATTTTCTTAAAGTATCTAGAAAAATCTTAACTTCTAACAATCTCAGGTGGGACAGTTCATACAATTCGCATCAACTTTCGTTGGAGGTTTTGTGATAGCATTCGTCAAGGGGTGGCTTCTAACGTTTGTCATGTTATCTACTATTCCACCTGTTGTCTTCGCTGGGGCTATTACAAGCCTGGTTATTTCAAAAGCATCATCCATGGGACAAGCAGCATATTCTATAGCAGCAAGTGTAGTAGAGCAGACAATAGGTTCTATCCGAACTGTATGCACGCTGACCAAAAATAAAAACTGCCGACCTTTTCTTTTTGATATTGCAGAATATATAAACGAGTTCCATTTTTCAAACGCAGGTTGCATCATTCACTGGGGAGAAGCAAGCTATAGCTAAATATAATCAGTCTCTAATCAAAACTTATAAGGCTGGAGTGCAAGAGGCAATAGCTTCTGGTTTGGGGTTTGGTACTCTCTATTTTGTGTTTACCTCCAGTTATGGTTTGGCTGTATGGTTTGGTGCAAAAATGATCATAGAGAAAGGATATACAGGAGGAGATGTCCTGACTGTATTATTTGCTATATTGACTGGATCCATGTAAGTTGTGTGTGCGTTTCTCTTTCTTAATGTTAACACCCTCCCTCCATATCTGAAAACTCAGAAGATATGAGTAGATATTATATTATCTTATCTAACTATATTTCCAATCCCAGGTCTCTTGGGCAAGCATCTCCAAGCATGAGTGCCTTTTCTGCTGGACAAGCTGCAGCTTATAAGATGTTTGAAACAATTAAGAGGAAGCCAGAAATTGATCCTTATGACACTACTGGTCTGCAGCTTGATGACATTCGAGGAGATATAGAACTTAGGGATGTTTGCTTTAGTTATCCTACAAGACCACATGAACTGATATTCAATGGATTTTCCCTTACAATGCCAAGTGGCACTACCACAGCTTTGGTAGGAGAGAGTGGGAGTGGGAAGTCCACAGTTGTTAGTTTGATAGAGAGATTTTATGATCCACAGGCAGGTGAAGTTCTCATTGACGGTATCAACCTCAAGGAATTTCAACTGAAATGGATCAGACAGAAAGTAGGCCTAGTTAGCCAGGAACCAGTTCTTTTTACTTGCAGTATTAAAGATAATATTGCCTATGGCAAGGATGGTGCAACTGTTGAAGAAATCAGAGCTGCAGCGGAACTAGCTAATGCTTTCAAATTTATAGATAAGCTTCCGCAGGTCAACCCTCGAATTTCCATTTAAATGTCAAAAATGCATACTGCTTAACAAATTGAAATGTTCTCTTCTTCAGGATTATCTTTATCTGCATGATAGTATATAAGACTTGGGAAAAAAAATCTTCTATAATTACAGTGAATGGTCCTTTCACCTCAGTAATTTTGTATAATCATGAATTATGATTTATGAACTTAGGGACTTGACACAATGGTTGGTGAGCATGGAACTCAGCTCTCTGGGGGTCAAAAACAAAGAGTTGCAATAGCAAGAGCTATTTTGAAAGACCCAAGAATCCTACTTCTAGATGAAGCTACAAGTGCCCTTGATGCTGAATCTGAAAAAATTGTGCAGGAGGCATTGGATAGAATAATGAAAGACCGAACAACTGTCATTGTCGCCCACCGCTTAAGTACTGTAAGGAATGCTGATAGCATTGCTGTTATTCATCGAGGAAAAGTAGTTGAAAGAGGTAAAAATAATATGCAACAATAAAAATCTAAGTTCCCCATGACTCAATTCTCAAGTTTATGTACCTCCGCACTATTATATTTTTCCATTGATCAGGGTCACATGCTGAGCTCACCAATGATCCTAATGGAGCCTATAGCCAGCTCATTAGACTGCAAGAAGTTAAAGGGTTGGAAAAAAATTCTGCAAATGACAGAGACAAGGTAGAAAGTATTGTGCATTATGGAAAACAATCAAGTCAAAAATCTTATACACGATCTATAAGCCAAAGGTCGTCAGGAGCTGGAAGCAGTGGTCGTATCTCGTTCTCAGCATCACATGGTGTGCCCACAATGATTGGTTTCTTGGAACCTGCAGGTGGAGAACCTCGTGATCCTAATCCAACAGTTTCTTCACAACCAGAAGTGCCAGTCCATCGCCTGGCATATTTAAACAAGCCAGAGATTCCAGTCTTACTGTTAGGGACTATAGCTGCAGTAATAAATGGACTATTGTTTCCCATTATGGCATACTTAATTTCCAAAATGATAAGTATTTTCTATAAGCCATTTCATGAACTTCGTAAAGATTCAAAACGTTGGGCATTACTATATGTTGGGCTTGGTGTGATATCATTTATCGTTAGTCCATGTAGATTCTATTTTTTTGGCGTTGCTGGTGGTAAGTTGATCAAAAGGATTCGAAAAATGTGTTTTGAGAAAGCAATTCACATGGAAGTTAGTTGGTTTGATGAAGCTGAACATTCAAGTGGAGCAATTGGAGCAAGGCTCTCTTCTGATGCAGCTGCTGCCCGAGCTTTGGTTGGGGATGCACTTGGTTTGCTGGTTCAAAATATTGCTACAGCAGTAGGTGGCTTGGCAATTGCTTTTGAAGCATGCTGGGAGCTTGCTTTTCTAATGCTTGCTTTGGCACCTCTTTTAACACTAAATGGATATGTGCAATTCAAGTTCTTAAAAGGATTCAGTGCAGATGCTAAGGTTTGTTTTTCACTTCCTCTAAGCAACCAACTAATATTGTGAATGAATATTGAAATATTTGTTCTTTCAACTTCAGGGGAAGTGAAGTGATTTAGATCCATTTCTTTTGTACGTTTTATTGTTCAGTTTTTGCACCAAACTAAGAAGAGAGAAAAAATACTATATGAACATGGATCAACAGTGTGACAACCTACAATCGTGTGCCTAAATTTTCTTTTCACTTAGCTATATGTTGAGTATTAATATTCTATTTGCCTATCAGAAACTGTATGAGGAAGCAAGTCAAGTGGCAAATGATGCTGTAGGGAGTATAAGAACAGTTGCTTCTTTCTGTGCTGAAAAGAAGGTGATGGAATTATACCAGCAAAAATGTGAAGGACCAATTCAGACAGGCATAAGGCGAGGGATAATTAGTGGAATTAGTTATGGCATATCATTCTTCTTGCTATATGCAGTTTATGCATGCTGTTTTTATGTTGGAGCTAAACTTATAGATGATGGAAAAGCAACAATGACAGAAGTTTTCCGAGTAAGTTACTCTCCCAACTTCAAGTTAAAATTTACATGAGTTTTCATTGTCTTGGTTATTGCTGAGATATTATTCTCTGAGATAGGGTGGCCATGTGCACTATTTTTTCTTGTATTAATGATATTGATTTCTGATTTCCAGGTTTTTTTTGCTCTCAGCATGGCAGCTATGGGAATCTCTCAATCTGGTTCTTTGGTCCCTGATTCATCTGGTTCAAAAAGTGCTGCTGCTTCCGTATTTGCTATTATTGATCGAAAATCACAAATAGACCCAAGTGATGAATCTGGATTGACATTGGAAGAAGTCAAGGGAGAGATTGAATTTAACCATGTCAGTTTCAGGTATCCTACCAGACCAGATATTGAAATATTTAGAGATCTTTGCCTGATCATTCGTAGCGGCAAGGTACTTTCTAATTTGTGAATCTTGTCTGGTGGACTACTGTAAATTGTTCTTCCTAAACTAATAGATTGACTATACTGATAAAATAAACAGACAGTTGCACTGGTTGGAGAAAGTGGAAGCGGAAAATCAACAGTGATCTCATTATTACAAAGATTTTATGATCCAGACTCAGGTCAGATTACACTGGATGGAAAAGAAATCCAAAGCATGCAAGTGAAATGGCTAAGACAACAGATGGGCCTGGTGAGCCAAGAGCCTGCGTTGTTTAATGACACCATCAGAGCCAATATTGCATACGGAAAGAGAGGGGACGCAACAGAAGCAGAAATTATAGCTGCAGCAGAACTGGCAAATGCTCACAACTTCATTAGTAGTTTGCAGAAGGTAAATTACAGTATCCTATTAACTGAATATCTCTTCAAGACTAGTGCAACTGGTGTATCTTCAAAATTCTGAATTAGTACTAGTTATTGGGAAACCATATGCTTCTATGTGCATAGGTCTCGATATTTGAGAGAATTATTTTATATATGCAGGGTTATGACACAATGGTAGGGGAGAGAGGGATTCAACTATCTGGAGGACAGAAACAAAGGGTCGCAAATGCAAGAGCTAAAGAGAAGAATCCAAGAATATTACTCCTAGAAGAAGCCACAAGTGCACTTGATGCCGAGTCTGAGAAAGTGGTTCAGGATGCACTAGACCGTGTTATGGTGGATCGAACCACAATAATAGTGGCTCATAGGTTATCCACTATTAAGGGTGCGGATTTGATTGCAGTAGTTAAAAATGGGGTGATAGCAGAGAAGGGAAAGCATGAAGCATTACTGAACAAGGGAGGTGACTATGCTTCCTTAGTAGCATTGCACGCAACTGCTTCTACATCGTAGTTCCCTTTACAGTTTATTGTTGATTTTATCTGAGTAAATAAGATGCGGGGGATTTTCGTCCTTCTCGATGATTAGACAAGTTTAAATGCCACTCTCTATCTGCAATCTGCAGCTTTGTTCATTATGTAATAATTTTCGTTGCAAGACTAGTGTCATAAAAATTATTTTGTTTGTGTAAACTCTTGGTTCAGGAAATGATTCTTATTCATTTGCACCACTTTTTACTTCAAAATCTTGCACGATAATTGTTTACTAATTTACCATTCAGAACCCACACACCTGTGTGAGCTTGTGTAGGAGCTGGAATAGTGTAAAAGTGATGAAAATGTCAAACTATAAATTTTTACCAATTTCCCCTGTGGAGAACTGATTCCTCAACGTGTCTCAGACGCTACATTTTTTATGAATGTAGTTCTTTAAGACTGAAATACAAACACCCTGACAAGATCTTAATCCTTAGCGGGAAGTTTAACTGGGTAAACACCAGATAGATGAAGACAACAAAGACAATGCTAAAGTGGTTGGAGTTGGAGATTATGGCCAAGCATGTTATCATATCACAACTAAGTGAGATGCTAAAGAAGAATTGTTGAAAAATAGGTTCAATAATGAGTGAGTGTTCCCCTCTCGTAGCTTAATAACTCAGCAATTATACACCTGTCCGATCATGGAAAACTGGAATCTCTCAATTATGAGCAAGACCTGAAAATAAGAAAAATAATAAAGGGAGAGAGTTAATAAATTATGTTTTGTGTTAAGTTTGGCCTTAAGAAAATTCTTTCTGGTGTATTAAAAAAAAAGCGTGGTTTCTTTGAAATTCATTGGATAGCTTTCTTATAGGGATATACAATATAATGTGGTGAGTTTTAGTGTAGTGTATTTCAAACCATTAGAGGGTTACTGTAGAGAAAAATTAGGGACGAGTGATGTGTGAATTTCGAAGAAAGTACGAGTGTAATCTGCTGAATAATGAAAAACTAATCGTGGTTAAAAGAGAAAAGGGTTACTGTACGTCAGTAATTAAGGCCAGATTGTCTTAATGGTTGCATGGATTGTAAATATTCGAAGTTTTTTTTAGTTTGCCATATATAAATATTTTTGTATTTTTATATTTATGAAAATTAATCATACCTTTCTGATAAGATTTTCATTCTCAACTTAAAATATATAATATAAATTTATTGAGATTGAGAAAATTACAAAGATGAATGAAAATTGGCAGGGTTATTAAAATTAATAAAAATTAAAATAGATACATTATGAAGGTGAAGGAAAAAAGATGTATCAAAAGTTGTTTTTAGTAGGTAGAATCACTGTAACTAAGCTTTACAATGTTTGTGTGAGGATATTATATATTATTAAATGTTGTTTAACTAATTATTTTTCAATGAGTTGAGTTCTACATTAGGTGAAACTAGAACCAACCTAACCTGATTACATCCTTATAATTAGCCACAAACGATACAAAGATGAATTAGGACCACATTATGTTTTATTCATTTTCTAATGAATTAATCTAACCATGAAATGACTTTATTCTTGAATAAATATATACATTAGATGCTAAAATATATAATTAATTAATCTTGGTTGAAAATCATCTTCTGCAGAAAAAGGCTTGTATCCAAGTTCCTGTGCTAATGGGGCATAAGGAAAACTCACTGTAGACACTCTATAACTCTTATTCTATCGTCACCGCTTGCGTACGCATCATAATGTTCACTAATATAAAACTCTTTTGTTGTATTATGTTATTCAATATTTTTATTGCACGGTTCTTGCGTTTTTTTCTTTGTAAGCTTTCTACTTTTTCTCCCTTTAAAGATGCTAGACGTAGCTGTCCTACGCCCTTAAACTAATACTCTATATTTAACCAAACAAATATTTATATTATTTCAGAACGAAGATTGTACGTTATAAATACGTATTTATATATATGCATGTAGCGATGTATGATCACGAAAATAGATCCTTTTTATTGTATAATGATATTTGACATCAGAGATATATAATTTTATTCAGCAAACATCACGCGGTCCCCAAGTTTCTTGAGTCAAATCGGTAGCATAAATAGCAAAGGACGAAAATAAAAACAAAAGGAGGTGGTGGAACTATAGGTTAAATTTTTTAGTTGTTCAACAAATTAATGATGCATTTGTCCATTCAATTATAAACCTTAGCATAATTAAAAAAATAAACTTCGAACTTGATGAATTGACGTAGTGATTAGATACTCATATTAAGTTGTGATTTATATAGCGAGAAGTTTATCTTTGATTCTCGTGGTGTGTAAAAAATAAAAATTAGTTGGTTTAACGAAAGACACAATCTTGTAGCGGGATTAGTCTCTAGTGCAGACTGAGAAAAATTCGTGTAGGAAAAAAAAATGGTTATCAAGGAAATAGAGGTTAAACTGCAATTGTCTAGAGATGCTGCTTAGGTATGCATACATAATGAATATTGGTTTCTTAATTAGTAACACTACTAAATAGAGAAAGAAGAAAAACAAGTGGTCACGGAAAAATACACACCAACCTGATCTTTCAACTCACTGTTTGTGCACGCACGAATATCTTAGCAAAGAAGTCAACAGACTTTTGGATTTCATTCCAAGTTCAAATTTTGCATGTCTTTTTGCAGAGATTATTTACACAGTTGACTAGACACAGAAAAAAAAATGTTTGTTATGTTATTAATCTTCAATATCAGCCATCATAAAGGGAATAGAGTTGGGACATTGTTATATTGATGAGCTATAGTTAGTTTTTCATGCCGACTCTTTATCTTAGTGATACGTTTTTCCATCAAATATATCATAATAGTGATTAGTGACATATTTTGGTAATTAGTCAACATGTTTAGTGGTGATTAGTGATATATGTCTTGAAGAAAAGTATGCATGTCTAGTGGTCCACGAATACAAAGTCAATGAAATTTAGTTGATAATCATGAACTCAAATTTAATAAAATATTAATTAGTTTTTTTTTTAATGCGTGGGAATCAAATTTAATAACACACCAATCCAAGCATACCCATCAACCAATTGAACCAGACAATTTGAGACTTAAAACAAAAAAACTTAAACTTAAATAGTCTGTTTAACCATATTATTGCATGAAAAAAGAATAGTACCGTACATCTGCAGCTGCTTCACCAAATCCACGAGACATATAACCAATAAAGTGCCAAATATCGAAATTTTCTTATAAAGCCTAGAATAATAGTACTATACTTGAAATTTAAATTTAAGGCAAATGCTAACAACTATCCTATCCTTGAACACTTGTTAAGGATTTAAAATCTGAAAATATTAATTAAAAAGCATCATTTTTAAGCTTTCAATATATTAAATGTTATACTTCTAATAAAATATTTTTTCATTTTTTCTCAACTTTTAAACTTAAGGATGATTATAATCTCCACGTGTGATGTTCATATCAATTATCAAAGAGCTCTTGTTGTTCCATGCTGCATTTTAACCGTACATAAACTATTATCTTGGGTAATGGGCATCTAATTCTGTCTTGTTCTTTTGCTTTTATCTCGTGATTTAAAGATGAGCCTAGTTAACTTGCAATAGTAGGCTACTGCCAACTGGTTTTCGTGAGTACTATAGTTTTCCATCATTCTCTTGTTGCTTTATAGTGCTAGTTTGCCATCATTCTTAGAAAGCGGGTAGCACCTCTACCTCAAGTCTACAAAAAGGTTCGTTCTCAGCTTTTACGTCTTCAAGAAAATAACAAGGTCAAGAACAAATGAGTAATAAAGACCTTTGCTTTCCTTTGATATATGTTTTCATGTTGAATGTGCTTTGATCACTTGTGTTGGTTTTTTGTTTTGCATGTATACTTTGCACCTTAATTCTTTCTTGCCAATTATGGTTTCCCTGCTAACTTTATTTTTTGTCACTCTTCAATCTTTATTCCTCTCTATTGTTGAGATTGGTTAAGTCAACTAATTTCCAATATACGTGGCTTTTGCAGATTTTGACATATAAAGAATTATAACGACTTCAGTGGTGACTTTTGATGGAAAAACTAAATGGGAATTGCTAACTCAAACAAGTGATCCTTCTTCAGCAGCTTTTTTGAGTGGTGTGTTTGTAAGTTGAAAACTAAGAGAGGTTGAAAGGAATGGTGGCTAAGACTAGCTTGGATGGAAATGTGACCTCAACTGAGATAACAGGATCAACAAGTGATCATGCACCAGTTCAAGGTCCTGAAAATACCAGAGAAATGGATTCCAAGAAGAACAAGGTGAAGGTTGAAAGGAATAAAACAGTACCCTTTTACAAACTTTTCTCATTTGCAGACTCTTGGGATTATCTTCTGATGCTTGTTGGGACAATAAGTGCTGTTGGTAATGGAATCTCTATGCCTTTAATGACTGTACTTATTGGAGATGCGATTGATGCTTTCGGAGGAAATGCTGTTAATAAACAAGTAGTAGTCCATGAAGTTTCCAAGGTAATGCGTAGCTCCCTTTCATAAATAATCAATTTTGTGAAATATCTACAAGGAAAATGTGAAAATAATGTGAAATGGAATGATTTGGAAACATAAACATTTGCATGGTGGGTGAAAATGGAATTTAAAGTACTCCACTTCAAATTGTCTCACATTTTTTGTTGCAACCGAATATGTGCAAACTGAAAAGTAACTTATATTTAAAATTTTTGTCTTATTAAATTCGAACTGCCTATTAGTGTCACAGTGTCAGTGATTCTATTGCACAATAAGCCTGTGGCATCTGATTCCACAAGATGAGATAGCCTAAGCCCATGTGTGTAATTTATAAGTTGTTATTTATTCTCTTATTTTATCGATGTGAAACTTTTTTGTATCCCAACATAGATGAACAAATTAGATTTGAAACCTTATTTCCGAGTCATAATCATTCAAGCTTTGTTTCATGCTCAGGCCTCTCTGAAGTTTGCATCCATAGGTGCTGGTGCCTTTTTTGCAGCATTCTTGCGTAAGCATGTCATGTCAAATTCACGGCTGATTAAGCTTACTGTATTAACTAGAAATATAGTTTTTGCTTTATATCAAAATAACAAGAGTATGTGCAATCTTCCAGAGGTGGCTTGCTGGGTGATCACCGGGGAGAGACAAGCAGCAAGAATAAGAGGCTTATACCTCAAAGCAATTTTGAGGCAAGATATCAGCTTCTTTGACAAGGAAACCAATACTGGTGAGGTTGTCGGAAGAATGTCA